AACGATGATACATCAAGCCACACGTGCACCTTTTGAGTGCCTATTTAAGTAGTCCGCCCGAAGGTTCTACACTATCTGCTGTATCTGCACCCCAACTAGGGGGTACCCATTTAAACCCTCTGGTTTTAACATATTCAGACTAATCCTACCTAACGCGGGTATAACTCACTATTCAAGCATAGGTTTTGCAACACCACTACATTTACTAGCCAACTTAGGACACTTAACTATCCTTAAGAGTAAACCCAACAGAGCAGTACATGTCCCACACATGTATTCATCTACATGTTCAGCAACTTCTTTCTAACTAGTACCTGTTGTACTGCTGACACCGGGTCCATATCTCAAGCTACTTTTTAGAGTACTGCCGTAACCTGATCTATATCTCAAGCTACAACCTTCCTAATTAGTCTCCCATTACGTATTCATTGCCCTTAATCGGTTCAAACAACCCCAGTACCTACACTTGGAACTGTCTCCTTATCCAGATTCTTTATCGGTCCCTTCCTTACTTCTAGCCTGAAGGACGCCCTCCCTTGGTCCATACTTTCGGAGCATATACCCTTTTCCTCCAGTACATCGGCCCAGCGGTTCAGCTGGTATGTCCCCCCACTTAAAGACCTGATTGCTCGATTCTCTGATTTCGGGCCCCAGTTCAAATTTAGCCCTTCTGTGGTACTGTCGAAGATTACTGTTATATCCAAATTTGGGACTTCCCAAATAGGTTTTCGGTTATGCCGGTTTTTCTGGTTTATTGTGCCAAAGCTCCCATTACTAGATAGTGTGACCAAAGTTACAAATTAGATCCAACTGATAAGCATTAGCCGTCAACCGAAACACAGGCCTATTTTTCAAATATCATCATCCATGGGATTTGAACTCTAGACCTGCCACTTGGAGAGGTGACGACTAGACCACTACACTAAGTCGCCACACCTCATTAAATAATACTTTTTATTCATGTCTACACCAAGCTATACAATATATTGTATTGTTCAAAAGTCAGTTAAAAAAATTAGTATCTTATTGAGGGAGCTATTTAAAAACTTTGCTAAATTAAATAAAATTAAAGTAGTATTATACAATAGTAAGAATTTAGAAATTTAAATAATTACACAAAACACACAATTACTAATTAATTTTTAGCCTACTAATTATATTGGTTTTGGGTAATAGTAAAGATCTAGCCTTAGATATATAGAAATCAATATGAATAGCATCTATTAATAAAATATTAAATACATTAATTAGTAAATGAATAAAATAAAGGCTAAGTGATATTGTATATGATCATACATAACTTCTATAGCTTTTTAAATGCTTTATAAGTTAGCATAACCAGATATGCTATAGAAACTTCACATTCTATGAATTAAACCCAAGCCTTCAAATTCTAGCAAGTTTATATCTTACATGCATAAAGCATAACAATCTAGTAGAAATAACAATTACAGAAATACAGTGTGGCTTACTATATAGTTATACAGCTATTTACTGAGTACATACATACATATAAAAAAAAACTTAGAAAAAACAAATAAAATAATATAAAAAAAAAAACTTAGAAGAAAAAAACAAATAAATAATATAAAAAAAAACTTAGAAAAAAAACAAATAAAATAATATAAAAAAAACTTAAAAAAAAATGTAAAGTTTAAGGATGGCTTTCTTAAAGTTTTGAGTTAATAATCAATATTACTACCACAGCATATAAATAATTAAGTCCTCTTATTGAGTTAGTATTGTAAGAAATTAATATTGATTATTAATCTAAGCTTTAAAAGGCTGTCTTGGAGACAATTATGTAATTTGTTCTACTGATTATATACCAAATTTCTCCTGACTATATGCTAAACTTTTACTAATTATATACTGAATTTTTTCTGATTATATGCCAAATTGCACCATAAATCAGGACTAATTATTTTATAATTTTATACAAATCGGGTTGCTGCATAAATTTGCATAAATCAGGGCTACAGTAAATTTGTAATTTAAAATAAAACATATGACTAATTTTTTTTACTTTGACTAGTGTGCTAAAGCAACATGTATACTTTTTTGCAATCTTAACCATAGCCACCAGGCTAACTTGAATCAATATAAAATTGACAAGTACTTGAACAAAATTGAAACTGAAGCAGGGCCACTTCTTTGGTAGAGAGCAAATGCTGCTTTGTTTCTGACTCTCTCCCACCTTGCAATGAACTTTCTTGCTGTACAAGCAATTAGCATGGCAAGTGAACAAGCTTTCTCAGTTGCCAAGTACATGATTTGTCTCACCTGAAATCACATAAGCCCTGAAGTAGCTCGTGTTTGAAAAGCTAGTATAGAGAACTAGGTGATCTATTAAATGAAGAGGCAGGTAATATTAGTGCTTAAATAATAAAGTTTTTTTTTCTTTCATTTTTTATTTTATATAAAAAAATTTTTTATATAAATTTTTTTTTTTATATAAAATTCATTTTATATAAATTGTTTTTTTTTATATAAAATTATTTTTTTATATAAATTTTTTTTTGTACAATATTAATTTGTTTTTTATATGAAAATTTTTTGTGTAACTTTTTTCTCAAATAAAATATTGTAATATTGAATATTGGCAACGGTAAAGTTTTTTATGTCTGTGATAAATTATCAATCTGATTGGATGAACTTATTGGTTCAGGACTCAGTCTGGGATCGATCAACTATATTTTCTGGATCGAGTCCAGGACCGTCGTTTCAGGTCCTAGGACCGGACCGGATTCGCAATTTAACATTCCTAACTTAGACCTTCAAGTTATCTTAATAACTTGCATAAATTTAAAGAATTCGGAATTTAATTGAATTATTTATATTAGTATTCTAAACTAAAATATTATTGTTACACAATTTTTTAGTGTACAAGAATATGCTAAATATTATTGTTACATTTTACCCGGTTACTAAACATATAAAAAAAGATTTTTGTTTTTCTAACTTCGACCCAACCAGGTTTTCATTAATTGTATGACCTTATGCTTATAAGTTTTTATACAACGCAATATGTCAAATTTCAGTTAGCAAACTTTTTGATAACAATTTCTAAAAAAAATTTTTTAGAATTTTGTCTATGAATTGCTTTTGACATTCTATTCGATTAGAAAATAATAATTTTCTTTATATGTTATATTTTATTAGCGTTAATTTATTAGTCACCTTTTTTTTGATTAATATGATAGCTTAAGTTTGCGGATTGCAATATCATATTGAATTTATAATCATTTGAGAAATTTATAATTATTCTAGAAACATAAAAAAAAACTTTTTACTTCTATAAATGTTGATTGTAAATGCTATGTGGCAGTGGTTTTTATGATGCGTATTAAATGTAACATTAAACGGCAAATGAAATATTAAACATAAATAAATATAACCAGTTTTTGTTGCACCACGTTAGCGGCTTTATGCAAAAGTAATACGTAATAAAATTTTGCTTATTTTATACCTATATTCAAGCCGATCGATCCGACATTCCGCTACGTAACAGTAACACTACCGCTAAATCACGCTACTGGTGATATAAAAATCATTATTAAAACAATAACTTGTTTTATAATAAAATTTTTATTGATTTCATTTCATTTCATTTCATTTCATTTCATTTCATTTCACTTCATTTTATTTTATTTTATATTATATATATTGTTTTATTTTATTTTATTTATTATATTTTATCTTATTTTTTGTTAGAGCCCAAAAAGTGGTTTTATGGGTGAAGTTTTGAGACATTATCTTTTTTTTTTTTTTTAAAAAAAAAAAGATTATATCTAATTTTTCACCGTGGTGATATCACCTGCTATCACAAATTTTATTATCGGAAAATAAGCACAATACCCTCTATCTATTTTTTCAATTTCAGATTAACGGAATAACTTGAGTAAAGATTTTATTGCCATTTCTGCTAATCTGAAATTGAAAAAATAGGGTAGAGGGTACTGTGCTTATCTTCGGAGTTTCGCGGTAAAAGTTAAATTTAAGATCTTTGATCACCACGTTTTGAACGCTATGTAATAATGAAAGCTATTGCCAAAAAAAAATAATAATAATACAGTACTATTGTTCCATCTAAAGAGTCAATAATTCGAGTTTATCACATCAATTGTGATAACTCGAATTACTAAAGCCCTCAGATCTCTAGTTCCATTTAAGTACCATGGGAAAATCCAGTTCATTATCGAAATAAAATGTGTATCTTTCGGCCGTCATTCTCGTGTAAATTTTAATAATTGATACTTTAGTGTACGTGTTACAGCATACTAGAACACTAAAAAGGAAAAAAGAACAGAAATTTTAAATTTGTGCCCTTGAGATCTGCAAAGTTACAAGTAAACAAAAGAATTATCAACGCCTATAAAAAGTTAAAAGTAAACAAAAGATTAACCGCCTAAAAAAAAAAGTAAAAAGTAGGCCTGAGTTAATAAAAGGACGTTTGGTATAAAAAATCGTATTACAATTTACAATTTCTAAATAAGTTTTGTAAAATCTTAACGTATAATATATGATAAACATGGTAACGATTCGCATCCAATCTCGTCCAATTTCATTTGTTATCACGTAACTTATTTATTCGTATATAATTGACTTTTTTTTTTTACTGCTCCTTTTTTTTTTTTGCGTAACGACATCGGGAGCGTGCAGTAATGTACCACACCGCTACGTCCTTTGATAAGATTTCACCAGTGATGATTCTTTCGGAGTATAGGTGACACCTACTCTAAAATTCAAAAAAATAGAATAAAGGCATTCTACAAAATAATGTTTCAAATCGATCGACTTTTTATTAAAGTCTATACTATATATTTCATTCTTATTTTCATATATAAGTATGAAAGTATTGTATTACCAAATTTTTGACACGATGTTTGCCTATTAAAAAAAAAACCGCTCTCCTCTGAGGTGGAAAAAAAATAAAAGAAAAACTAAACTAAAGTTACTATCTACCAAGCTCCTTTTATTATTTAAACTAGTTATTCGATATGAATAGTGGTGCTCTCACAGGCCCAGTAAACACTACGACTGCAATAGTCGCCACTACCACCACCTCTCAAACAGTTGCGACTACAATAGCCACAACCTGTTCACCTACTGCGCCTGCAATATCTAATACCACAAATCGAGTGCGAGCGCAAGTAGCGTGCGATTCATGTAAACAACGGAAAAAGAAATGTACCAAAATTGATGACGAACCATGCGTAGATTGTGAAAAAAGAAGTATACCTTGCACTTTTAACAGACTCAAGAAATCTTTAACAAAAACGAACTTGATTCGAAAAAGTAAGAAAGTAATAATTACAACACTTAACAAAAACGTATCCCTTACATCGTCTTACAGGTAAATTTTCCAACAAACGCACCTTTTTGGGCAGATACCCACGCCCTTTGAATTCTTCGTTTACTGTTCGAGCCTTCCATATGGGCTGATTTTTGCGATTTATGTGGATTCGGACCCCAAAAATTGCAGATCATTTGGCCCTTGGGATTTAAAACTCATCCCCAAGGGCCAAATGATCTGCAAATTTGACCAGAATTAAACCAAACTTTGGGGTCCGATCTACATAAATCGCAAAGCAACCATGTGATTTTTGGGTTAAAAAATGTAGAGTATTGCGATGCGGACAAATTTGACTGTAATTGATAGACGGTGTAAGGGAAATAGGATGATTAAATTGTTATAATACGTGCAAACTTTATAAAATTATTGTATTCGATCCGTCAGTCTAGTGAATTATAGACAATTAGGCCATACAAATTTAATTTTTTGTTTCATGACATGAATTTTATAACAGATCCGGCCGATCAACAATATGAGTGCCGCCGAGGGAAAACCTGTCATCGGACTTTCAATTATATTTTGAGTACAGTTAGCCATCTATAGAATCTATTGCAGTATTATTATGATGGATTTTCCATAGACGGCTAACTGTACATAAAAATATAATTGAAGGTCCAATGAAGGTTTTCGGCGACACTCATATATAAAAATTTTGTAATTTACTGACTCGAAATCAGCATCGTCTGGCCTCTGAATCTTATATATTCAGTTATTGGCAATTTTTTTAGTTGTTCTAGGAATAATGGATATAGTCTCGAATGATTATGATTTTATCTGAGCTTTAATTAAAAGCTTATACTTTATGATGACATTTTTACTTACACTTTCTTTTTCTAATATTATATAATATGGAGTAGAACATAAACCCCAGATTAGAGGCCTATACCGATACCATGCTGAATCATATAATCTAGACCAGACGGATCAGCATCACGATCCTCCATCGTCATTCGTACCGATCAATGTAATAGGGGTATCGTCGCAAGGTCAGTGAATCAGCTATTGATATTATTGTCATTATACTGACATTTTCACTTTATCTTTTTCTAATATTATATAATGTGTGAATAGGTCATCAATCCGTTGGAGGCCTGCATGAGCCAGGGTCTTATAGTTCAGGCCAGGCGGAGTTGCAACAAGTTTCTCCTGTATCGTACGGATCCCTATCTCATTCTTGCGCCCATACAACCGAATTATTAATGCCAATGAATGCAGGTATGTTGTAAGTTAATTCTTTATTTGCTAATATGAACGTAAATATTTATACTTATATCTTTAATAAAATTAGTTCAACAAAATCGAACAAGAAATGTAGGAGAATCATCACCTACACTCGGGCCACCGGTCCAATATCCATGTCAACACTCGATTAATGGAGTAGGTCATCAATCTGTTGGAGACCTGTACGAGCCATACCAGATTGGACCTTATAATTTAAGCCAAGCGGACCGGCAACAAGTTTTTCTTGTATCGTCCGGAGGATCCCCATCTCATTTTTACGGCCATCATTCGGAAAATAATTCTATTACAAATGCACCAATGAATGCAGGTATATTGCAAGTTAATTCTTTATTTGCTAATATGAACGTAAATATTTCTATTTCTTATATCTTTAATAAAATTAGTTCAACAAAATCGAACAAGAAATGTAGAGGAATCATCACCTATTACAAATACACTCGAGCCACCGGTCCAATATCCATCTGTAATATGTTCAGCACCCGTGCTAATGACCATATATGCCTGTCCGCGCTCCAATATTCAAGTCCAATATTCATGTCAACACTCGATTAATGGAGTAGGTCATCAATCTGTTGGAGACCTGTACGAGTCATACCAGGCTGGATCTTATAATTTAGGCCAAGCGAACTGGCAACAAGTTTCTCCTGCATCGTACGGATCTCCATCTCGTTTTTACTCGGAAAATAATTTTATTGGAAATGGATTACCAATACAAATGGATGCAGGTAATTTGCAAGTTTATTCTCTATTTGATAATATGAACGGAAATTTATATTTTCTTACATCTTTATTATAAAATTAGTTCGAACAAGAAATGTAGGTGAATCATCACCACCGGTCCAATATCCATCTGTAATATGTCCGCGCTCCAATGTTCAAATCCAATATTCATGTGAACACTCGGCACCGATTAAAGCAGGAACATCACAAGGTCAGTGAAAATCGATTTATCATGATATAGACCGATTACTTTTTATAATAATTACGTAGTGCTTCAAGTTAGTTTATATGCAGGTATATATATATTTAGAGTAAATATTCTACTTACCTTTAAAAATTTTTCATACGTAAAAAAAAAAACTTAGACTATCAAAATATTGCCTTTAATGGTGAGATACTATCATTGTCCAAACACGTTTTATCAAACAATTCAATAATGACATCATACCTTTTAATATTAAACGTAGGACAACAACAAATGTTAGTAAGTCTGGGTAGAGAAAATAACTCTCAAGCACAAAATTCTTCGACCATCGCATCACCAAGTAAGGATTGTGACTGCTAAATGAGCCTACCATATGAACAAAATTTTTTTTGTAGTTGCTGTACAAATATTTATTGAGAATTAAATTTACATTAATATTTGCTGTTGGTTTAATATAGCTCATTTGGATAATACAAATTATTTAAACACGACTTCGGCTCCAGAATTTCAGACAGCTATATCGCAAACTCCAGTACATGTAAATGGAGTCGAAGGTAAAATTCATACGATAATAGAATGTATGTACGTACAAGAACTGTAGTAATCACTATCTTGATTCACTTAGATTATACATATGAAGATTAAATTGCAGCTTTAAAATGAATTTGTCGCTTCTGTTTTGCAAATAGGTATGCTCATTATTCATCACGTTTTTCATTAATGGCTCCATAGCATTTAATGTCATTTTTTTTAGTAGAACTATGTATTTTTATGCCTGGGGGATTTTTTGTAAGAAAAGATTATGAATTAAGATTAAATTTATTTTTATAATTTATTTACACATTTTGTAACGTTAGCAATATTACACGATTTTATGACTGTCTTAAGATACTAAATAAAAGAATATAACAGTAAAAATTTTCCATATGATTTTACAAAAATCTTATTATTTTGTGATACAATTCTATTGTTGAAATTCCTGGAGGTTGCATTCCGGTGTTTGTACCTATGTATGCACATACATATTAACATGTTGTCTCTCACAAAAGCAAAAAGAGTAGCTTTTGTTCGCACAAAGCAAAATGAATGATTTTTGTGTATATCTGAACCAACGATTAAATAATGGATATAGAAATCTATTGTTATTTAAATATTGATTATGAATATAATTTTAACTCGAATTGAATCTAAATCTGAGCTGACATCTCAACCTTGTCCTCATTCTATAAAGACTTAAGGAACTGGTCAGGAATCGTTTAAAGAATTGCACTTCAGAATTACAGCCTAAAATTATTCGTAAAAGGACTACGGAATTTTATCGATGTTATTCCGAAACCATCTGTGGAATTTATGATAGTGTAACATTAAATAGTGTTACTATTAGTAATACATTGTCAAAATAACCTGATAAAGAGGTTTTTATTATTGCAATCTTATCGTTATATTAAAACTACTATCAGAACTGTCAATAATAATTGTGAGGGACCAACATGAGGTTGGTTCCAACGTGAAGCCAATTGGTATTTTTTATGATTACTAATCATTGAATACTAATTGACCTCACGTTGAAACTAACCTCATGTTGGTCCCTCACAATTAATTATTACAGGCTGAAGTGACATTTCCGAAATTCGACGTAGTGTCGAGCTTAGGTGGATTTGGCTGTAACACAATGCGGAACGGAGCACACTCGCTGAGAAAGTCCGAGGGAAAGTAAATATTGAGTTAAGCGAAGGAAAAGTCCCATCCTTAGTGAATTCGTTGAGTCTTTACGAGCTTGGCTGTAAAAACAATATCAAAACCTCTTGCGCTCCGATGTAAAAGTTGTAATTTTTCTTTGTAAATAACAGAATCTACGGATTATAAATGCACAATAATAAACCTTGCTAAATCACTATCGTCACGCCTCTGGCGATTTGCCTATTCGTATTAATTAAATCTACATTTTTTTTTTTTTACTATATAATTTCTGATCCTACAATTCACCCTGTAACACTATCATCGCAAGAATATCAAAAGTTAGCTGAAACGCATTATGAATCATAGGGTAAAACGTCTATATAAGCACCTTTTAATCGGGTCGTGGTGATGCGCCATGACGATAATAATAGCTACCGTATAATCAGGTGTAACTTGAAAACATACCGGATTTCGTATCAAAAATCGCTCATATCTCAAGAGTTTGCTTAAATAACTGCTTTCTGCGTCCTAATAAAAAAAATATTGATATATATATATAATCAGCTATCGATATAACGGACATCCTTACACCGAATTCGAAACATCGAATCTTTAATAGGCAATTTAAAACGGTTACGTATAATGAACTCAATAGTAAAAAGGCTATATGACGTATAACGGGCAGCCTACTTACTGATTTTATTATACGAATTTAATATAAGGCGACCAATCAGAGCGCAGTTCTACAACTGTAATTTACAAAAAAAAGTTTGGCCTAACGCTAAATAGACCTATAACGGAATTTAATATTTGAGTGTCGCCAAAAGAAAACCCGACAATTTAAATATAGTTTATATTTAAATTGTCGGGTTTTCCGTTACATAGGTATAGTGAATATGCTATACAACGGAATTTTTAGGCCAGCTCGGATTTCCGTTATATCGATAGTTGGCTGTAATGCCTCCTCTAACGTTGCTCTAGTATTTACTCTAACTCTAATGCCAAAAGCTACTTTTTTAATAGCGCTATGGTATTTATATATCTGTGCCACGGGCGCGCTGTAGATCTCGTAATTATCAATTAATTAATACTGTGATATCGAGTATTTAAAAGGGCTTAGGGGATCGTCCGCGGAATGTTCCGATGATAATAATAAGCACGCAGTAAAGAGAACATTTGCGAAAAACATTCTTTGTAATGTGAAAAAGAGATTATTAGGATGAGATAGAAGGGAAAACTTGACTGTGTTGTAGATTGTAGCAAGAGAAATCAAGCTCAAAGCATCTTAGCTCTCTAAAAGTTATAAAAGGATAACCTTCATGTTATCAAAATAAATAATCAATAAACTTTTAATAAATCCTTTCTGCATAAAAATTGTATTTTAAATCTTTTGCTAAATCACTATTGTCACGCCTCTGGCGAGTTGTCTGTCATATAAATTCTTCATTTCTTATATAAATTTTCTAATCTGGCAATATGAATTATTAAAAGTTATAATTGCAACATTTTCTAAGATATGCAATTCATGGTTTTTTTTTCTATGAATATAGTGCTATCCTCACCCTTGATAAGTTCATTCTACTCGAAACAATCTAATTTATCTATTCCATATTACGTACTGACATTTTGATATGATCTAGTATGAAATTTTTTAGGACTAATTTAATTGATATAGGTTTGTTACACGGGAAATAAAACGTTTGGTGCAGGGACCTGTGGATTTTGTGATATAATTTAAATTATGTTTTCGATATCAGCAAATTATTTGATTTACTGCTGATTAACAATAAAAGTCCGAATTTGTATAAAACTTAAAATCTATCTAATAAAAAACTTAAATTTTTGAAAAAAAATGTTGCCCTAAAAAAAAAATTTGGTTTTTTTGCGCAAATATATAGCCCATGATATTTTTATTTCTTTGAACTATTGAAATATAAAATATTTATTATATTTGCTAATAATTTCATCGTGTATGCTTGAAAAGTGCATTTTCTATAATCGAAGCAAATCGCAGTAAACCACATAATTTTTGTGATTTGCTTCGATCACAGCAAATCACAAAATCCACAGGTCCCTGGTTTGGTGCAGATAAATAAATTATATACTTTGAGAAATAGGATTATCCAGGTACTTCCATTTCAATTCTTTTATTATAATTCAATTTTAAAGGATCTATTTATTTTCCGAAATGCGCTATTTTTCATTAATTCTGAAACCCTAGTATCATTATCAATCAAGTTAATTAAAATAAGCTATTAACTTTTTTTAATTTCTTATTGCTGTTCCGTTTGATTTACGTGTAGGTATAGCGATCATTTATTACTATATTTTCAAATTACTGTGAGATCCCTTGTCACACTAAATTTGATACAATATCGATATCGATATGTAATAGAACTATATATTTTCAAATACAGACTAATAAAATTTTTATTACAGTTTGCAGATCATAATGTAAAATTACGGGAAATCAGATGATTTTCCGATTCAACGAATATAGAGATACGTTAATTTTCCTCGATCTTCATCACAAAAATCATGGGTCACACCTTATTGCAAAACAATAAACATTGTATTTACCAGATGCATCACGAATTTTTTTTATAAGATTACTAAAAAATGCTACATAATCTTATGTAAATATTTATGAATTCTACGGACTACACAAAAAGAAGCATAAATTTATATCAAACAATTACATAATATTATTGTCATTTATGTAATGCTACGTGAATATATGGATCTTCGAAGTTTGTTATGTAATTATTAAGAAATCTTCGTTTTAAGTTAAAAAAGTTAATATTTTTTAAAAAATTGGAGCTAATATAATTTTTCTAGCCAAATCGCAGATTAGTATTTAACGTTATATTTCCGATTCCCAGATTTTCGTGGAGTGCATGATGTATGAAATTTGTTGATCACAAAGCACAATAATAAAAAATAATTTATTTACAATTTTATAATAATTTTGTTGGAAATTAAAAAGGTAAAAACTAGTTAACATTTTAGAACGCTATGAATTTTTGAGAATATAGAATTATTAAAATATGGTTTTCACGTGTGTTTATAATATTAATAAATTTTTTTTGGTACGTATTGAAAAAAAAAGTAATTTTCATACCGAGATAAAAAAGGAAATCTTAACATGAGATTTTAGATTAATAATAATAATAATAATAATAATAATAATAATAATAATAATAATAATAATAATAATAATAATAATAATAATAA